GGGGGGGGGGCCGCGGGCTGTGCCCCCCCCCCCCCCAGCAGACCAGAGGCACCGGGAGCAAAGCGGCGGCGAGGTGCCGCGCCTCCCCGGCTTTGCCAGAGCAAAGCCTCAGAGGTGTGGGACCCCTCCGCCTCCTCAGCTTTGCTCCAGGTGTCCCTGGTCTGCTGGAGATGGTCCCCAGCAGATCAGGGGCACCGGGAGCAGCTTTTCTCGCCCCAGAGGTCGAGGTGGCAGGACCGCTGCGCTCTGGGCGGTCCTGCTGCCTGCGAGCTCCGGGGCGCGAGAGCCCTGTTTGTAAGTGCGGATCCGACATAAGTTGGATCTGCGTAACTCGGGGACTGCCTGTACTTACCTTCAATAACAGCTGCAACTCTGTAGGCTAGAATACAGTTCATTTCAGTGAGTCCTTTGTGGTTATTTGGTCTGGTAGACACCCTTAAACATTCCTGGTAATGTGTTGAACACTAAAATAGGAAGAAGCTTTCCCACTGGTCTAACTTAAAAACAGGAAAACTGTTGTTTTGAGAGAGTACTAAATATATTTAAAGCAAAATGGGTATCTTATAATTGCAGGTAAAAAGATTGAGAACACTTAATTGGGGGAATCTAATTTGATAGTGGCTGTAGTAAATAATATTTTCAAGAGTATCTCAGAGCAGATCATATACAAAGGTTTCCTAGCTGTGTTTTGAGTGGGGTGTTTGTCTCCCTTTGAGTTAAGTTCATAGCTGTTTTATCTTTCAAGAGTGATAATGGTAATTAAAACTGGTGCTTGAGCCTTGTATTAGTAATGATCTCACTTACAGTGCTGCCTAGCAGTAGGTGATTAACTGCATGAGGCAGAAAATTGTGGTAAAGGAGGGAGTTGTGACCTTGTGCAGCATCTGAGGGGGTTATGACCTGAGGTGGGAGTGCAGGGATTGGGACCGGGGGTAAGGGATTGAGGTGCAAGAGCTGGGAGGGGTTTGTGACCTGTATGAGGGGGTGAGTCTGGGAGGAGGTTAATGGGTGCAGGGGGGTTTGGGGTTACATGGGATAAGGAGGGTAGAGGATTGGGGGGAGAGAAGGGCTCTGTGGGTCAGAGGCAGGCTCTGGCTGGAAACACTCACTGGAGCAGATACCAGCCAGCAGTGCAGCTATTGTGCCTGCTTTTCATGCCCCTACAGCAGTGCTCCCTGCAACTCCCCCACCCTCTCTTAAAGAGACAAACTGCGGCAGGACTAAGCTCCCCCTCCTACTCCGCAAACTAACTGCGGCTGGGTTTGTTTGTGGTTTTGGGGGTTTGTTTGCTTGACACACTTCCCTGGCAACCCTAGGGGTTCTTTGAAATTCTTTCAAGCTGAAAAGGGTTCTGTGCCCAAATAAAATTGGAAAACACTGCCCTACACTGACAAGGGGCCATGGGTGGCTGGCTGAATGCTGTAAACCCAGAGGCAGGAGGGGTAGTTCATGAGCTGCCTGTCCTGCACACGAGCTGCTCCCATTGGCTGGAAACGGGACAGTGGGAGCTGCAAGATTTTGCTGGAGGGAGGGGGCAGTGTGCAGAGCCTCTCCTCCCAGGCTCTCAGTATTCAGAGAGCTGCTCTGAGCACAGGGTGGGGTATGCAGGGACTCTTGGCAGAGGTTTCTGTAGGCCAGATCCCACCTGCCCCCATTTAGAGTATTTTACTTCCAGCAGAATGCATGGAGAATGTACTCTATTTTTTTTGACAGGCATAGAAATCATTAAGAGAGCTCTGAAAATTCCAGCAATGACTATTGCTAAGAATGCAGGTGTAGAAGGATCATTGATAGTTGAAAAAATCATGCAAAGCGCACCTGACATTGGGTATGATGCAATGCTTGGAGACTTTGTAAATATGGTAGAGAAAGGAATCATTGACCCTACAAAGGTAATGTACATTTTTTTCAAAGAACTTTGAGGCTGTACTTTATTTTAGTGTGGGTGAGGGGGGACAGTATTCAACTAACAGTTTTCTTTCTTTCTTAGGTTGTAAGAACTGCCTTGATGGATGCTGCAGGCGTTGCTTCCCTTTTAGCCACAGCAGAAGCTGTAGTTACTGAAATTCCTAAAGAGGAAAAGGAAGTGCCCATGGGAGGAATGGGTGGAGGAATGGGAGGTGGCATGTTCTAATTCCTGGAATACAGATACATTGTGAACTGTGATGGTTGAGACTGACAGTTTTCCAAAAACTTAGTCAGTGTAACGGGGTGGATAGTGACTGAAGTGAGGCTGGTGTTTAAAGAATCGCTGTAACCACTAGTTACTGGATTTCATTTAACACGTAGAACTGTTTACAGTCATTGTTCATGCCTACAGATAATTTATTTTTTATTTTTCAATAAAAACATTTGTACATTCTTGCTACTGGGTGCAAGATTGACATACCAATGTTCTCCTTGAAACTTAATCAA